TATAACTGCTGGCAGGTGTGTAACTTGGAGTTAGGTTTTTCCAGCTCTTTGAATGTTCTAGGTTTATGTTAACCAAAACCACACCTATACATGTATAGGTAAATGTACACACACATGGTTTTCTTCTGCTCCACTTGTCACTCCTCATCTGATGATCCACTGCCCTGCAACGTAGTACTGCATTTGCAGAAACAGAAAAATCAACTATGCTACTCTTGCAGATAACAATGTCTGTGCTCTGACAGAAATATTTAGAGGAACAGCACAAGTAGCAGCCCTGTCATTTTGTCAGCATTGTCTTAGATTAATTCTTTTCTCCACTGAATCAAAACTAACCTTCCCTAAGATTCTTTCAGAACTAAAAATAAATCTGTGAAAAACTCTCAAATAGTTACCAGAAAATTCCGTATTAGACATGAATATATCTTCACAGATGAAATTTGTATTTTGACCACAGCCTGATGTATTGAAGCTTGTCAGTCAGTTCAGCCATACTAAAGTAATCAAAATTCTGTCTTCAATCACTAATGTCTCACAACTGTTGTACATTAACTGGCATGGCTGTGATATAGCCCGTCAGGGAAAGAACTGCTTTGCCAATTGTATATTCATACAACTTCCACATCATCCTTAACCACCACTGACATACCTGTCAATTACTTGATTTGGGAATTAAAAGTTATCATCGCTGGCATAAACATGTGCATAGCTCATTCTATGTCCAGTGTCCTGGTTTTGGCTGTGATAGAGTTAATTTTCTTTCTAGTAGCTGATATAGTGCTGTGGCTTAGATTTAATATGAGAATAATGTTGGTAACACACTGATGTTTTTAGTTGTTGCTAGGTAGTTGCAGCACTTAACATTAAGTCCTGCCATGGGGCTTACTTGCCTTACTGTATAGCAGAGTCCAGTGCTCGTTAGTGGCTGCTTACTGTACTGCTGTGCTGCTTATCATCTGACTGGGAACATTTTGATACAGCCATGGTGATGCGCCTGGGCTGGCAGGTGGCCAGGGCATCGCTGCTGTTTCTGTGCTGCTGTCCTGGACAGGCTGGAACCCCAGTGTGAACTCGAGTCAAAGGGATTGCGACCTGTGGATGCGTCCCCGAGGGAGCAGGACACCCTGAAGCATCTGTGGCCATGGACAAGTCCACACCAGAGCAGGTGTATCTCAAAGCGTCTGTAGCCGTGGTTATGTCTGTGCCACAGCAGGTACACCTCTGAAGGGATTGTGGCCCAAGGATAAGCCCACAATGGAAAAGGTACACCTCAAAGCATCTGTGCCTGTGCATGAGGTCATGCTGGTGCACCTCAAAGCATGTGGCCATGGATAAGCCCACAACAGTACACCCCTCGATGGACTGCAGTCAGGTGTAAAGCCATGTTGGAGTAGGTTTACTCCTGAAGACACTGTGACTGTGGGTAAGGCCATGCAGGAGCACGTATGTCTCTGAAGGCATTGTGGCCCATGGGTAAGGCCACGCTGGAACAGATGCACCTCAAAGTGACTGTGGCTGTGAATCAGTCTATGCTGCAGCACGTATAACCCTGGCGAGACTGTGGCTCATAGATAAGGCTCCACTTGGAGCAGGTACAACTCTAAGGGACTGCAGTCTGTGGATAAATCCAAGCCAGAGCAGGGGCAACCACCTGAACCAATGGAGGACAAGCCTTACAAGAACCATTGCAAGTCCAGCCGTGGACTTGACCTGGAGCTGGCTCTGGTGCCCAGTAACGCCACGCAACACACCACCTCTCCTGTCCTGAATGACCACCACAACAGATAGAGCCCAAAGTCAAGGGCTAAATGAACTCAGTGGACATTTTGTGGACATTTTATAGACATTTCACAGGGGTGGTCCATAGACTAAGGGAATGATATCTGTGTATTGTATCAAAGGATGAGAAGGGTGCCCGTGGGTAATGAGAATGCATTGGATAGCGTGAGACCTGAGCATGACATAAATGGTATGGAATAAGGGGTGGAGAATGTGCTGGTTTTGGCTGGGAGAGAGTTAATTTTCTTCATAGTAGCTAGTACGGGGCTATGTGTTGGATTTGTGCTGAAAACAGTGTTGATAACACAAGGATGTTTTCGTTACTGCTGAGCAGTGCTTAAGCAGCATCAAGGCCTTTTCTGTTTCTCACACCACCCCACCAGCGAGTGGGCTGGGGGTGCACAAGGAGTTGGGAGGGGACACAGACAGGACAGCTGACCCCAACTGACCAAAGGGATATCCCAGACCATATGATGTCATGCTCAGCCTATAAAGCTGGAGGAAGAAGAAGAAAGCAGGGGGACGTTGGGAGTGATGGCATTTGTCTTCCCCAGTAACTGTTAATGTGTGATGGAGCCCTGCTTTCCTGGGGATGGCTGAACACCTGCCTGCCCATGGGAAGTGGTGAATGAATTCCTTGTCTTGCTTTGCTTGCGTACGCGGCTTTTGCTTTACCCATTAAACTGTCTTTATCTCAATCCACAAGTTTTCTCACTTTTACTCTTCTGATTGTCTCCTCCATCCCACTGGGGAGGGGAGTGAGTGAGCAGCTGTGTGGAGCTTCGTTGGTGGTTGGGGTTAAACCACAACAGTCCAGAAACAAGTGCTGCTTTGCTTGAGCCACTTTTTCAAACACTGTTGGCCATCATTCAGCACTGCTCTACACCAAACCAAATTTGAACCTTAATTTTTGGAAAAAATGTAGAAATTGATTGAAAAATAGAACCTCACCTGCCTGTTAACTGTAAAAGATGGTCAGAGTCTCACCACATCAAAGTCATCTTATGCCGTTAATATATATGACAATTACTTTTCACTTTTCTGTGTTTACCTGTAACTATCTGAAAGATCAGTCTAGTCAGAGAACATTGTAAACTCAAAATGTCACCAGTCTTTCTTACATCTTACACAACACCTGCATGAATTCCATTCTTAATGAAACAAAATTAAGACGCTGTAGAATAAGCCCACAAGGATTACATTAATAAATATCCTCAAAAGATACAAAAGGAGAGAAGAAAAGTATCAGATTAAAAAAATCTAGTTATCTGACTGAAGAACAGGTCAGTCCTTAAATGAACTAAATAGTAAGGAGCTGGAGCCACTTCTTTCTAGTTTATTAGCTGACGTTGACCTGGTTTTCTCAAAATTCATGACAATTCAGTTTGTGTCTCATATGCTGTTACCAAGCAAAGCACAGGTTCCATTACTTCAGTGATGAAGGCTGCCTTTGCTCCCTACAATGACCAATGAGTATTTAAGTTCACATCAATTCTGCTTTAGAAAATAGCCTGAAGAAAGTTATCACATGTATTTAGTTGAACTGAAAAGATAATCAGTTGAACAGTTCTGGCAATGATAAAAATGTTTACTTGCTTGTCCCAGTAAGAATTTTGCTTGTTTCATCTATAATAGCCCAGCTTCAGCGAGCCCAGAATTCACTTTTTGAAGGCAGGAACAGCGCAAAACTTCCTGTTTCCTTTGCCTTATCTGTTCCAATACCTCTCTGCAACTCTATTCAAGCCAGCTCAGCCACATTACCACTATCCTCAGCAGGTATAGAATATCCACTTAATGGCATCTATTACCTGTGCTGTTACATTGCAGCAACTCTCCTCTGTGCCTCCTAACATTTTACCCAGTCTGTCCATCTGGCATTTTCTAAGCCCAGACTAGGGTTTTTTTGTTCGTCTTGCAGAAGATACAGCTGCAAAGTTAGTCACAGAAGTTTGACATGAAAAATGAAAAACACATCCCTCCATTCTTCTTCTTTTCCTGGAGAGTTTAACTAGGCTTACAGTTTTAGGTGGATCTGTAAGTAAGAAAGATGCAATTTGAAAAATTTTGCATATAAAAGACATCAGAGGGATTACTAAATAGGTTGGCTGCACAAAATACTCAAGTTTTTAAGATGCCTAAAAGAAATTATACCTTTTATTTTTGATGCTTGTTATTTATTCCTAATATATCACATATTTTTAACTTTCATCCTTTTAATGCATTATGAAACTAGGTATAAAAAAATCTAAAAATTAAAATATCGTTAGTACACTGTAGAGATTGTCAGAACAAACAAGCACACATTCAAAGAAAAAAATTACAACAGTTAGACTTGTTATAATGACATGTAGTTATTTCACTTTTAATACTTTTTTTTATTCCTCCCCCTCTTCTCCTTTTTTATTTTTTTCTTCATAAATTATTGATATTTGCTCAAGGAAGTTTAACATTTTACAGAAAGTTAACAGCAATCCTAGCTTTAGGTATTGCTTGTCTTGCATGGCTGAGAATTTTTCTCTAAGCGTTTCAGATGTAAGCGTAATGGAATACAAAAGTATGAGTTCACACCACTGGTAAGATTCATCCTCTAGCTTATCTTGAGGTATCCGGTTTAAGCTACTCATCTGGGCTTCCTGCACAATCACTGGTAAAAGACATGTATCTTTAGAAGGTGATGAAATGTACCTGTCTTAGAATAACCTGAGAAACCCTCCCTCTCCACTGACACACAGCTGGCTCAGACACCATGCTTAAGTTTCAATGTTCAGGTTAAGAGAGATGAATCCCAGCTGAAAGAACCCACGGGCTCATATATTTGCGTGCACATTTGAAAGTGTATTTGTGCTTAACAAAGTCGGACTACACTCACAGCCATAGAAAACTAACTTGCTGAGTTACACAGCTGCCAACAACAATTATAAAGAATGTCTGGTTTACAAAACAGAATTTATGCACATTTAACTAGTCTTTTTTGTTCTTTTAAAACATATAGAAAAAAGCTGTTCTCCACGTAAACAAAAGTTTTCAGTACCCTGTAACAGGTAAAATATCTCTTTAGCAGGTAAATAACAGGTAGATTTGAGTAAAACTTGCTAAAGTAAGAGCGATGAAACTGAATCTGTAAGAGAAATTGTTTTATGGAAGGCAGATTAAAAACTTCTACCTTCGTTAGCATTTAAGTAATTCCATAAACAGTTTATAAATACTGAAGAGAAACGTACCTGGCAGCAATTCAGCAGTAGGGAATATCTTCTCCTGCTTCATTTTACTTTCATGTAATAACTCTTCTTTAGTTATTGGAAGATCTAGAACATCTCGAATAATCTGTGCCCCTTCTAAGGCTTTTTTACCCATGACTAAGGCTTTCACATCCCAAGTATAGGTCTTCCCAAAACGCCCACAGATCTCTTCGAACACTACTGTATAGAGATGCTCGGTATCTGCCAAAAAAATAATAATAGCAATATTAAAACCATGTACAGCCAGCTGAGCAGCCAATCTTAGAAGGAGACCACATAAATGGTCACAGAGTGAACTGTCAGGAGCCAGAGGGCATATCAAAGTGGACAAAATTGCCTCCCATTATTTGCAGAGAGGAAGCCAGACTTCTAAGATCACCTCAGAGGTACCTAGGTTTTTCAAGCTGACACTTTTGTGTTAAGAAAAAGGTTACTGAAAGTCACAAGAAAGAACTATCTGGACCTGCTCTTTCATCACCTTTCTTTACTATACAGGTTAGCAAGCAGTGTCTTAATTAAAATACTCTATTTATTTTTTACATGAGAAAGAAAAGAAGGGAAGGAAATCTAATACTTGGGGGATGTCATTACATATTCCATGTAAATTGGAAAAAAAAAAAAAGATTTAATTATTTAAGAGTGTCTTTGAACGGAAGCTTCAGAGTGCCTTCAAAGACACTACAGTCATTATTACAGTGCTGCTGGCACCTCTACATTTACATGTGATTACTCAAGCAGAACACACCTACTTGTATTTCCAGGGGGTTTCAGCAAGAGTAAATTTCAGGCTGAATTTTGCCAGTGAGACTATCAGCTTCTATATTAAAGGCCTTTTAAGTTTTCAAACTTTTTTTTTTTAAATACAAACAAACAATCCTTCCTGTCTTTCCCCCCAGAAAAAATCTTTGAAAAAGAAGGTCAATATTATTTAATTTAACACTAAAACAGGGAAGAAAGGTCCTTTCAACTCTTGGCTCCATTTCAGCAAAAGATCTTGAACAGAGGCTTTTCTACCAGTCTGTTTATCTTTTTAAGTAGTCTCCTTTGAAACACCAGCTACTGCTATTAACCGTGCTTTAATTTCCTTCTCACGCATGTCTTTGCCTTCTGTATCTCTAAAGGTATATTTATCATTATCACTTTAGCAATGAAAGGTAAAAGCAAGGCAAGAAAGTAGTTGCTGTTACAAGATTTATTTAGAGAAATTAGGGACTTCACTTATCAACATGTCCTTTGCCATGTAAAAATATTTTTCATAGGGATATTAACATAGTGAAATTATTCATGCAGACATTGCCTCACTTTCTGAATCTGTAAGACGTATGCAACAAAGTTTAAACTTTAAGCTTTAACATAGATACTACGAAGACAACAGACTGAAGAAAGAAGAGCAGAGCCCATGACTACAATATATGCGAAGATCTTCCCTGCAGTCTGACAAATGCTTGCCGCTTAACCACAGTAGTCTGCTTATCCTGAGATCAGCAGATGATGAGAAACATAGGGGCCGTTTCCCATCATCACACCTACCATCATGTGAACACACAGCAGTGCAGAAGATGTCCTGCCACCTGCCGGAGTGCCCTTCTCCATGTTTCCCTTCAGTAATTAGAAGGGATGTTGAGCCAGAAGATCAGCTAAAGACTCAAGGTTCTCGCCTGGACTGCTTAACAGGGCAGCAAATGGCTCACAAAAACTTTAGCTTAAAACTGGAAGAAAAAAAAAAATAGCACCTGTACTACTCTTTGCAAATGCTTCTTAAACAATGACACTTATGGAAAACAGTTTAAAGTAATCCTGGAGACCCAGAAAACACACAAGAAAGGTATCACAGTAGAAACACAAACAACTGGACTTTGAAAAGTGTTAAGCTGGCTAATATCATGAAAGAAAAAAACAACAACAAAAAAGCAATTAAAAAATTCCCCAGTTTGCTTGATATTGCCAGATGGTACTCTCTGTGAACTAAGGTGAATTAAGAATACAGTGTTAAAATTTCACAGTTCTCTCTTTCCTTTTACCTGATACACTGAATTTTCTTCTATCTCTTAGGCTCACTAGGTGAAGGACATAAAGTTCTTACCCTAAGTTTAAAATTGCAACTGAAAAATTCTCATCCTATTCAGTAAAACATAGCAAACTAAGCAGAAATAAAACAAAACAAAGAATCAAAAAGTGTAATTGTAGAACATGAAAGTTTTCCTACAGGTCTCTATGATAATTATATGTTAATCTATGTGAAATTGAAAGACTCAACTGTATAGCTAAAGATACTCAATTTAATAGCCTCCTATTTAATGCTATTTAATAGCATTTTAAATATCACATACCAGACTTGTGAACAGAATTTTCATTTTTCTTCTTAAAGAAATGCTTAATAATGATGTCCAGATTGCACACCTAAAAATAATCTGTTATGCAATGTTGCAGTTTGCCTATTCAAGAACATTCACAAACATGTTTGGGTCAAATCTATTAAAATAATTAATTGTTATCCTATTCATATTGTGTTAGAACTTAGTTTTATCAGTGCTGAAGAAATAAAAGAAAACACAAAACAAACAAAAAACCCCTCAAACTGGTCAACACACCACAACTGATCACTGCCTACATTTAAATTAAATGTGAGTTAGTCTCACATATTACTCAAGTATTTAAAGCAACATAAATGCTTAAACAAGCAGGATGTCAGAAAGCCTTCTTTCCTTTCCTCTCCTCATTAATTGTCCGTTAAAAGAATTGGCTTACAAAACCTCCAACTTTTCTTTCAAAGACATCACTTTCACTCTGCCTGAAGTCACACCATTTGGACTGTGGACATTAACTTGGTGGCAATGAAATTATCATCTCAAGATTCATGACCTCTTGTAAGATTCTACATATTTGTAATTCTTGAGAAACAACATGATTTTAATTCTCATGATTGGATAAGAGCATAGATGAGGACATTTTACTTGCTCGAACAGACATGTTTCACTACAGCATGTGAATAAAAACTGAAATCTGGGGGGGAAAATTACACACACATGAGCACATGCGCGCGCACACACACACACACAGAGCAAAATCAGAATCTGAGGAGACCATTGCTGAAAAAGCTGCACTTCCTACATACACTTAGATAAGGACATATGTTCCTTTTGATTGAAGACAAAGGAAAATCTGTATGTCTTCCTTGTAATTAGACAGCAGTAAACAAATACTAAATAACAATACAACTTCAAGATTTCATATTCCCATTGAAATGGAAGAATCTCAAAAAAGCGCTCAACAAATATGAGGTAGGCTAGCTTTTTCACCATTGTGACAAGAAATAAACCATAGCACAATTGATTGGTCAGAGTAAGTATAGCAAAGAATCATAATTTCAAACTACTATAAATCCACAATACAGTAAGAAGTTAAATCTAATGTGCACACATGAATATAACACATCAACTAAACAAAAAAAGCAAGAAGAACTAGAAGTTCAATTCAACTTCCTAAATACAGGTACCTACTGGTATCTTACACACCCTAGTATATAGACATCCGCACAGAGCTGACATTAAAAAAGTAATATGGGCGAGACTTGCACCTTACTGCATGAGCAGTCGGATGCCCTACAGCATCCCAAGTGGTAATAAACACATACATTTAAGCAAGTGAATCCAGTCCCAGCTGCTAGCTCCCGTCAGGAATACAAGCTGAGAACATAGCAGGACACACATGGCAGTGGCCCGTTCTGAGAGGGCAAAGGAAAAGCAAGACTTCTTAGCTCCTGCAATTTGCAGTAAACGTATAACCTCAGCTTCACTCTGTTCTGCCTTTCAAAATACTCTTCATCTTTCTAGCTCTTGTCCCTTGATATATCTTTTACATGGACATTATTACCATGACATACTGTCCATCCACTTGCTACATTTCACTGGGAATGAGTGATATTCATTCCCTAGCCACATATCATCTTCTGGTCATTTTTTATAGCAACACTTTTTCTATATAAAAACATAGTAAATTCCACTGGTGCTGTTTACAGTGTGTAAAAGCCAGTCACAATAAATACAAATAAACTGACAAAAATTACAGAGACACTGGATTACTCTATTTGTGTTCTGGCACAAAATATGCTGACACACATTCAGAAGAACCTACAGGTCACTTGGCATCAGACCACAGTGCATAACTGGAGTGTATGATCTGCTCAAATCACTGCAGAGTCAGAATTAGAAGTGCAGATCTACGTAGGATAGGGGTGTAGCAAGCATCAGTGCAGTATCTAAACCGCAGCTCTATCAACCGCTTACACATGAAGACAGCTTAAGACAGAAGATTATGACTTCATGGATGAATATGGAACTTAGTTTTTTCAGAAGGATATACACCTTCTGAATTTATTAAAATTCTATTTTTGTAATTCTAAAATAATCTCTAGTTTATCAAGGAGATGAGGTTAGTAGGCACAAAAGCTCATCTTAGCCATAGCTGAGTTCTTTGAATAAACCATCCCATTTTTGCATCAAGCTTCCCAGATGAAATACACCTTTGATTTATCCTTCTGCTAGGAGTCTAAAGAGAATTTTAATTGTGTACATTCAATATAGGCCAGTAAGTCAAAATCAGATCCTTGACACCTAAACTCTACAAGATTTTTATTTTGATGTGGGACAGAGATTTTTATTTTGATGTGGGAAGAACTTTAATTAAAGCAATAGGTTTCTTGTGTCCATATTTGTGAGGCAGATTTCTGTCCATATGTAAAAGAGAACCACCTTCAGTATTCAATTTAGCCAAATTCAAACACAATTAGTAATTTTTATCAAGATTTTGGCCCAAGATTGAGAAAACCTCATTAGATTTTGTCACCATCAATACTGAATGAACACACAGATGACTATGATTTTTGCTTTTGCTTTTGTGTGTCTTTCACAATATTCCTTTAATCTTTTTAGGGTATGCAACAGTGTAAGAAGCCATATGAATTACTGAAATGCTCATTTGGGGTACAAGAGATAAATACAATATAAACCAGAACACAATTATAGAAGCAGAAATTTTTGCTTTGCTTTTTGCAACTCATTTGGTGACATTTAGCACAGTATAAAGCATTAACTTGCAAACAAATCTATGCAATTGTTGAAATGGTGGGGGGCAATTAACATTCCAGAGAGTATTAGAGTTTTTTCTACTCAGGGAGTTATAATAATAGTAATGACATTGAC